AATGAAAAATTATACTGAGAATGCAAAATCATTTTTGAACTTTTGGTCAAATTAATAAGAATAGATATCTTCCCTCCATTACTTCAATGCACCATATTTTTGTTCGTTTGCACGTGTCTGTGTGCATCTCTGTTTGCTAAATTAAAAAAAAAATTCTATTTTAACAATTACGTGTCATATTATTTTTTAAAATTATTTCCATATGACCGTTGTGCAGAATATTTACTTAATCATTTAAGCTTATTTTCTTTATAATAGTTTGGGTTGTTTCATGATCACATTCAATTTAATTTAACTGTACTTGAAATTGTTTCTCAATGTATGATGGTTATTCTCATTAGAAATAGGTGTTCAATGGGAGGCCGAGATGGGCAGATCACGAGGTCAGGAGATCGAGTCCATCCTGGCTAACACGGTGAAACCCCGTCTCTACTAAAAAAAAAAAAAAAAAAAAAAAATACAAAAAACAACTGGGCGATGTGGCGGGCACCTGTAGTCCCAGCTGCTCAGGAGCCTGAGGCAGGAGAATGGCGTAAACCTGGGAGGCGGAGCTTGCAGTGAGCCGAGATCCGGCCACTGCACTCCAGCCTAGGCGAAAGAGCGAGACTCCGCCTCAAAAAAAAAAAAAAAAAAAAGAAAAGAAATAAGTGTTCAAAACACCATGTCATTATTAACATATCTTGCTTAAAGTGAAAGCCATTGTAGCATGGTTTGCAATTTACTTTGGAGTAAGAATGGGATTTTGTGCAGAAAGATTATGTCTCAGATTTTATTTTAAAAGGTCAGAATTTCAAGAGATAAATAGTCCTTTTGGTCTCAACTAGCATGAGAAGTAGAGGGGAAATATTTTCATAAAAACATAAAAGAGACTAACAATTGTAGTTTCACGCAACCAGTATTATATTTAGTTGTTTTAAGACAATGATATCATAATAGCTGTAGGATGACAAAAAATGGCATTTTTCATAATAGCTCCTTTCTCCATAATTTGTTTATTGAAATTATTTGAATATGTGATAATTACTAATATTGTTGTAATATTCTATCACATTTACGAAACCGCTGGACACTACCACCTCAGCATTTTAATGTGCTCAACACAGTGCCATTTTCTTTAGAACTGGTTGTTTTGCTTTCAGTTTGCTTCCTAGACTATCATCACGAGATCAAAGGCTGTGTTTTTTATACCACATGACAGCCCAATGCCCCACACAGGGTCAGCATTAAACAGAATTTTTGATAGGACCGGGTGAGCCAAAGGAAGAATAGATGAGTAGTCACGTTCAGGTGGCATCGGGTGGGAATTGTGGCTAGGTAAAATGGTATCTTGTCACAATGGCAATTTCAGTCACCTATTCCTTACCTCTTCTGGGCAAGTGGATTCATTTGCAATTGGCTTCTTTTCTTCTTTCTCACTCTACTAATTTTAGATGGAAATATCATTGACTCTTAACAACAAAGCGACTATCTTACCATATTCACAGGTTCTACCCCACCTACTAGGGAAGTCAAAGTATACAGGAGTGGAAAGCTTGGGGCCATCTTAGAATCCTGCCCACCACAAGCAGCAAAATACTCCTACTCCAATGTATTTCCCATAGCTACCTTGCATCTTCCAACCGTATGAGTGGGGTGTTTGTTGCTTTGCTTATGGGCAAAGATGATTTTTGGGGGGAGATATTTGATTAAACTTCTAATTTCTTTCATCTTTGACACCTTCAGTCTTCCTTCATTTACCTTTAGACAGACTTTATCATAAGGCCACTTTTCTTTTCCTTTTTCCTTTAGGGTCGCTTCCCTTTGCATAGGTTATTGGCACTCTCCACTTAACAAAGACTAGCTTTTTTTGCTTCCAACTCTTGATATTAAGTTTTTATCTAGCATCAGAACTTGAATGTGAGTTGTCCATGTGTCAGAACTGCCTTTCAAAATCAAAAGTTTCACATACCATTTTCGAGTATCCCAAAGGAAAAGTTAGGCACCTATTTATTCCACAATTACTTTTAACCTGTATGTATTAATTGTGCACATACTATTTTATTATTTACAAAATGAGTTAAGCACCGTTTTCCTGTTCAAAATATGAAAATAAGTATCATGGAAAAGTGGCAACTGCATTTTATGTTCCTTCATTTTCAGCACCTTGTTATTCCTTTTATATAAAACTCTGGTCTACACACAGTTTTTCCTCTTTTCTGGAAAATGTGAATGAATTACAATTCCTTTGTACATTCCATGCTGTCTTGGACAAAGTCAAACACTTGAGTATAGAAACACTTGAGTATAGAAATGAATTGTATTCCAGTCGTAGATAGGACAATTTTTCACTCCTTTTAACTTAGGCATTGTATTAGTTTTCGACAAATAACAACTATAGACTGAAGGGATTAAACAATAGGAATTTATTTTTTCCTGATTCTGGAGGCAAGAAGTCTGAGCTCAAGGCGCTGGCAGGGTTGGTTTTTCTGAGCCTCATCCTTTGCTTTGCAAATGGGTATCTTTTCCCAATGTCTTCACATGGTCTTCTCTGTGTTTTTGTGTCTTAACCTCCTCTTCTTATAAGGACACCAGTCATTGGAATCCGGCCCATCCTAATGATCTCCTTTAACTTAATTACCCCTTTAAAGACACTAACTCCACATACGGTCAGATTTTGAGGTGCTGGGAGTAAGGACTTCAGCATCTGAATTGGTGGGGAGACAGTTCACCCTATGACAGTCATGATAGGAATTAACCACTATTGTGCACGAGATGTCTAACGAAAAGACAGAAAAGAAGTGTAAGGAAGTGATTGCTGAGATCAACAAATGTTACTATAGGACTGCCAGTCTATAGCTGCTGCAGATATATATATAGCAGTATGATGGTGGGTGATTTGTAGATTGTAATAGACCATTCAGAGAAACAAGTTGAATATTTTCTTACATTGGAAAAAAAAAGGGGGCACAAAAGAAATCATTTCCCAGCATTTGATTTGATTCCATAAGAATTCTGAGCATCAAACTATACACTGCTATATATGAAGCCAGATCCAATGGGAATCTTTTGAGTTTACATATAGATCACTTTCAAAATAAGGATACTAGCCCTATTTGCTATGCAATATTATCATGACATGCATTTTTAATTAATTGGGCCTTTCAGTTTTTGTGCACCTATAAACCCTAATAGTTCAGCCTCTCTATAGGCATCTTTTCTACCTCCTATCTGAGGAAATAACATTTTATTATAAAATTACAGTTTTTTGTAATTTAGATCTCTAGTTTCTAAAATAAGAAAACAGACCTATCATTTGGGGCAAGAATAGAAACAAAATAAACTCTCCTGTTAAAGCAGAGGAAACAACTTTCTGACAAAAAAAAAAAAATTGAAGACACAGCTTTCGTGTATTTCAGGAACATTTCACTTTTGTTCATCTTCTGACTGCACTGTGAACCCTCATAGCTAGATCAAAATTCGTTACATTAATAAACAAAAACAAAAATTCTGTCTATTTGCCTTACGTTAAAAGATATCCTTTTGCCTGATGCAACAATGGAAACTAAAATCTCTAAAGAGAAACGTGCTGGCTTCTCTCACCATCGTCGTCCAATAGGAAGGAATTTGGTCAGGAATAAAAATAACTCAGTTATGGTCCATGTTATTACACTCTTCTGAGCTTCTTTCTCCCTTCCACATGTTGAATGACTTTCTGGTTTCTTTTTGCCACATACATAATGTTTGGCTCCTATCTCCTGTGCAATCAATCTTCATTATTGGATCTCTTCCCCCTCCTACAATCAGATCATTTTGATTATGACTTTAATTGTACATTCCCTAACTAACTTCTCTCTAGTTTGTTTTTAACCTCAGACTACCTGTGGGCATAACGTTTTACAATTCAGAATGTGAATTTTACACTTAGTCTAACAACTAAATAAGCTTAGAAATTTAGGAATGGTAAATTAGGTCACCTGATGCCTTTTCACACAAGGAAAGCAAACTTCTTGTGTGCCTAGGTGTTGCTTTTGGAGAAACTTTCCTGAGCATTGAGGAGTCAGTGCTAACTCCTGCAACCACGTGAGTCTCTCCGACTCTGTGATGCCAACTTAACCATCTTGCTATAGTGGAAGAGCTTTAGGTTGGAGTGAATGGGTACCATCTTTGTTCTTAGGGGTGTACTCTAGGGACCATGTTTTTGTAGGAACACACAAGGGCTATTTTAGTGTTAATTGGAACACATCAGAAGAGTTTACATTCGAATTTCAAAGAAACGTAGGAATCCTTGTTACCTTCAAATCTCAAACTTTCTCCATGATATAAAATATCAGTCTTCATTTAAAAGATCAGAAATTACCCCAATGACCAGATCCAAATGCTGAACAACAAACAGTCCAGATTTACCATGAGGAATAGGGTTAATATTTGCTCCCCAATGACAAATCCCAACCCGGAACAGATTTCAGCCAGGCAGCTAGCAAAGCTCGCGGGTGAACTGCACAGGCCATGGTGGGTGCAGAGCTCAGAGCCGGAAAGCAAACAGCTGCTGTAGCCTGATTTGAGTTAAAATAGTGTGAGTGTTTAGTCTGGCGCACGGCTTCAGGGGAGATTGGCAGCTGGGTCAAACAAAGTCCTTCCATTGGCTCCCTTCCCAGGCAGCTTCTGCTAGTGTTTAGGTACTAGTGTAGTGTAGAACCCTTTTCTCAGGCAAAACCTAACATCTGACCGCACCCTTTTTGCTATTTAAAAAAAAAAAAAAAAAAAAAAAAAAAAAGCTTCTATTTTTTTTCCTCCTTTCGTTAAGATAAATTCTCCAGTAGACAACCTCTCCCACTAATTGTGTATTAGCAACGTATTTTATCTTGAGAGCTTGTACACTGGGCTCTCAACGTGGTGTGGAAGGTAGCCTGTTACAGTGCTGGATTCATAAAAGGGCCTTTATGGTTTGTGAAAGAATATCTGTGTGCTTAGGAAGGAAACTTTTTGATCTGCAGAAAAGCCAGAAGACATCTAGGTAAGACTGCGATATCAAATGTACTTTTTTTGGGGAAAATTGGGCAGTGAGACTGCTTCATCGCAACCAGTGTGAGTTTAGAGGGTGCATGTTCACTTTTGTAGAAGTTCAAAATGTACTGACGATTGTTTGCTTATTTTTTGTTTGTTTGTTTAAATCTTAAAGGAATACTGTCGTCTGCATTTTTACAATTTTGTTTTCTTCTATTGAACCGATTACAGTGGATATAGAGTTTTATTATATAGCGAAATCTTTGTAAACTGCCACAGAAAGAAAGTGTTATTTAGAAGGGAAATTGACAAGTTTTAAAGAGTAATTGTACAATCATTTGAGGACAGAGGAACACTGCATTATACTAATAAGGGTTTAATTACCAAAAAAAGTTTAATGTTGCTTTGGAAGGAATATTAAGTAAGTTGTCTTTGTCTCTTACTTTTTAATTTTAGTCGCTGATTTAGCCTGTTGGGTCACATTTTTTGTTAGTGCTGAAGGCTGCCATGAATCCATAATGAGGCCCCTTTGCACATGATTTTGGCACCTGGCCAAAATCAACTTCCCAGCGGCAAGCTTTCTCTAAAGAACCTGGAGCAATTTCTTTCTTTCTTTCTTTTTTTTTTTTGATCTGGAATCATGTCTGAAAGCTGCCACAACCAGTTGTATAGGCATGTCAAAATGACTTTATACAGTCAATATGAAACAAGCATTAAATATTTTTTTCTCATATTGGTGCTTTTATCATTATGAATTCCTTGCTTGTTGCCACCTAAGATACGATGGAACAAGCACAGTCTTAAAGAAGATTTACTGATTTTTTGTTTTTCTCAGCAGACCAGAGTAGGTATGATCATCTTATTGAGAAGTATACAGTGCAAAAAAGGTTTTTCAAAATACTGCAGGATAAATAACAAATGAAATCTTAAAATTGTTAGTCTCTGTAAGTAATACTCAGTGAACAGTAAGTAATGGAGTTTTCTAGAAGTTTCGTTGTGCGCGCAATTAAGCTTAACGTTTTAATAGTGTTTTTGTCTATGTTAAAATGTAGCATTTGGGATTTTTAAAATGTCAGCATTTGTTATATAATTTTAAAAACTTATTAACACCTTGATATTATTTCTAACAAATGTTTTAATAGAAATGCTTGGTATATAGACATGGCTGAATAGCATTAAGTAATTGTGTTTAATTGCTGTTTTGCAATAAAAAGATAATTTTTCATGAAAGAAATTTTGAAGCTCAAAGGTACTTACATCCCATATCTGGAACTATTATTAATTTTGATATTACTATAACTGAATTTTGTTCTGTAAGCCAATTTTATACTCTAGTGTTTTAAGAGTTAAATTCACGAATGTCAATGAAATACTATAGTAATCAAATATTAACACCTCAGATTTTTCTATAGCCATTTTCAATAGTATCTTTAGACATTAAACATGGGTACATTACAGAATAATTAAAAGCAGAAAAGTGTAATATTAGTTGCTCTATTTTTTTAAAACAAATTTTATTATCACTATCATAAATGCTATTATGCCTTGTGTGTTAATCTGTAGTAATCCAGAGTGCAACTTTATTTTACTAGAAACAGTCATATTTCTCTTTAAAATATTGATGGGAATCAGATATATTATTTTTTAAGAGTGACCTAATTAAGAGATTTCTTACTAGGCATGTTTATTCTGTATTTATCTCCCCTTTACGTATAGAATATTGCTAATTTTGGTGATAGAAAAGATCATATTAATTTTAGGTAAATTTTAGGATTAGAAAATGTCTCCTGATTTCCTTCAGGTCATTTTTGTAAATATACAATTTATATTTGCTTTCCTGTGGACTGAATTATGATACTGTAAATACCTTGCTATTAGTTTAACCAAGACATGGAGTGTTTTGAATTTTCATACCAGTCAACATTAAAATCCGTAGAAGTTATAAATTGTTATCAATAGAAATTTACCTAGATAAGTTCTCTTTGTATGTGAGTTTACAGCTGAATTCTCATTTAATGTAATCTTTGTAATTTATATAAAAGAAGTTAATAAAGGTAAATGTTTCAAAACTTGGATTAAAACCCAAACATTTTCACATTTATTATCACGAAACAGGTGCAGGAAAAATAAGATAGCTTCTCTTGTTCAGCATGATTCTCAGTTAAAAGTTATTTTTTAATTCAATTTTAATTTTAATTTTAGCTCTTACACACATCTTCTGTTTTTATTTTTTGATTATTTTGAATCAACTGTTGTATTTAGCATTTGAAATTGATAGATTATTTTTCTAATATTTACTAAGAAATGTTTTAACTGAAAATTATAGGGTATTTTTGGTTAATTAGAGCCCATAGCAAAGTAAATGCCATCAAATATAGAACTTTTCAAGTATACAGAAATGTTAGTTTGTGAGTTCAGAAGAAACTTAATTGTACACGATTACTGACAAATATTTTTTAGTTGAGGTAGAAACAAATAAGTATTAAGGGCAATTTAGATTATCTTCCTTACTGAAATAGCTAAAAAATTTACTTTCTTTTTCTATGGCAATGAGTTGTAATTATTTCCATAATGTAGGCTTTTTTAGCAGAATTACTAGCTAATATTCCCTAGGATCATAAATGCAAAACACTGATTACATTTCCTTCATTGAGTTAACATTTTAAAAATACTATATGGAAATGCGATTGCTTGTAAAAAGAAAAATATTTTAATATTTTTGTTGAATTTCTTCAATTTATAAAGAATAGCTCAAACAAGATTTTTCGTTCATCTTTTCCCCCATACTTATGTTGGAAATATTAAAATCTATGAAATTTTACAATGTGGAATCTCTTTTACTCTTCAGAAAAAGTGAAATTCATTTGTAGTTGTCATTTCAAATTATGGACTTCTATCATTTTAAATGTGACAGGGTTTTTTATTTGTTTATTTTAATTATGCAACAGGCACATAAAATACTTTCTTTCCCTCCAATTAAAAGAGACATTAAATAATTAAACATCAACTTTTATTCGGTATTGAAAAGAAAGCTTTAACATCGCAGTATTTTATCCACAATTGTTTAAATGTGAGAAATGTTTACAACAGGGTATTTTAGGTGAACATTTATCATTTAAATGAAGTGCTTTGTTCTGAGGGGTCTAAAATTCAGCAATAAGATAAGTGCATTGCTACATTAGATTGAACATCATTGTTGAATTTTTGGCACAACTTCAGTGACCTCGGCCATAAAAAACTAGTATAGGCAGAATGATTTGGAATTTGCAGTAACAAAACTAGATATAGAAGCACATGAAGACACCAATCTTTGTTGTTTTGGAGAAAGTATGCACTAAAATAAAAGACGATACCTTTCATATAAACTGCTAATAATAATACTTTGTTATTTCATTAATACAATAAACCTGAAATATTAAAACAGTAATTATACTTTGTCATGCATTTGTAAGGCTTTTCTCATAAAATTAACTGCCATATTTCACTCTTTTATTAGATGAACAAATGTCATATTTCCAAGCAGCCAACATACAACTATAGCTTATATAACCAAATAATTTTTAACGTTACTTTGATTTATATACAATTAATATTGAATAGAATCATGTTAGCTGATTTTAAGTCTTGTTCAAATAAAAGAAGTGTTGATTTGCACTTGTTGCAATTTTTTTTACTTTATATTGGTTTAATTTTAAAATTATCACAAAGTAAATATTACTGTTTGATATCCTTCTTAAACATTCATTTTACAAGCCACCTGACCTGTTAGCTGTTTAAACAATGATGATTTATCTTGCTATAAATTCTTCTCTCAAAGTCAAGACAAATAGATCAGTAAAGGAACCTCTTTTTTAATGCTCCAAATTTTTTCCTTAAAAAACTGTAAGAATATTTTAGTTTTCTCTTGTTTATGTGTTCGTGTGTATTTGTCAACCTGTGCTTTTGCCTATATCCTGAGATATATGTCTTCTGAGCTCGAGGTTGGAAAGTCTGATAGCATGCTCTACATTTGTTCTTATTCTATATTACTTTCTATAAACAAATTTATTGAGTTTCTTACTGAGAGTTAGTCGATACATGAATCAATGTTAATGATCACATCAAATCTGAGGATTTGCTTCATTTAAAGCACTGAATATTCAGCATAAATTAGTGCTAATTTACGTGTTTATAGAGTGATTCTAAATATTTGATTATTTTATTTTAAAGATTTACTAATTCTTTGAAAATCTGGAGAACTATCATTTGCTTAAAAAACTAATATCTACTAAAGTTATAATTGTCCCTGCTTTGCTATTATTGAAATATTGCATAATCTCTTGTTTAAAAATATCATGAGACCAAGCTATCGTGCCTTTCTTTTCATTTCTCCCACTAATATCTGAGGTCAACGTCTGTAAGGGGAAATATCTGAAAGTATTTCAAAAACATTTTCTTTCCTGTGATAATCAACTACTTTATCATTTGCAGAGATTTTGAAAGGAGTAACTGTTTTATTTGAATGTTTAGATAAATGTGAGGAATATATGGGCTTTCTGTGGACTTCAGTTTTAAAACTAAAATAGAAAGTAAGATGGAGAGTAATAAAAGTATATATTTTATAGCAACTAATTACAACTTGCTGTTCATACATAAACAACATACTGGAAAGATAGACAGTGGGCTTTGAGGACAGCTTTCATTTACTCAGTCTGTAAGAACTCTAGTAAAAATGGTGTCAAAGGGATGGTGGCGATCCATTCTGTATGGCCCATGGTGCTTTAAACTTATGCAGTCATTTCCCATATTTAAATCCCTGAGTCTTGCCTCAGGGCTCCAAATCACCAATCTCAGATATTTTTACAAAGAGAGAGGAGTTACACACTCATTCTTGTTCACTGGAGGATCTGTGATGGGGTTTCCTTGGCAGAAACAGGGTTCTTCTACGTATAATGATTTTTAAAAAAATCCCTGTTAAGGTAGTTCGGCTCATTCAGTTAGACAAATCAGCATTATAACCCAGATGACTCAGCCTTAGCAAGGATCATTAGTTTTTCATTTTACCCCAAACCTGGGCATTTTCCTGAAGAATATGGACAGTTGTGCATGAAAGGTCAAGTTGCTAAAAATTATAGAACATGTGTGTTTTACATATGAGTTACTAAATTGTGTTTTGTGTTCAAAATAGTATATATAAATACATGTTTTGTGTACAGAATATTTAAACAGTGATAGAAACAGTTGTTCTCAAATTTAACTTATGGGATTGGCTTGATTCCAATTCTACTTGAGATGTCATCCAAAATTACTTTTTAAAAGCACTGCTTTGAAAATTTCCAAGTACAGTCTTCATGAAGTATTGGGATCTGGATATGAATTTTCTGCTAATGCAGGAGTTTGGGAAAAATACAAGTATGTGACTATTGCATGTTCTGTGGGATTCTAATCTGATCACATGCTCTTTCCTCTCCATTCCTTGGACCCATTCAGAAATATTCTATGGAGAGTTTTTTTTTTTTTTTCTCCTGTCAGCAGTCAGTTTTAGTCTTTATTTTATTTGTTTTTAGAGACAGGATCCTACTATGCTGCCAGGACTGGAGTGTAGTGGCTATTCACAGGTGTGGTCATGGCCCACTATCGTGTTGAAGTCCTGGGCTCAAGAGATTCTCCCACCTCAACCACCAATTGTAGATATATTCAGATAGTATGACATTTGAAAAAGTTGATGGAGAGAAAATTCCTACTGAAGTGTGATACAGATATCTCTAAAACATCTTTGGTTGTCAGGAAATGAATCAATGCTATAGAAACAAACAATGATTTGTAATCTTGGCAGATAAACAGAGAAATAATCCGTTCAGAATATTTA